CTTTCCGTCCCCTCCAGTGGCTTCTACGCTGTTGCTTCTACCTTGATTGTGGACTGTTGTCAAAGATACAACAGGGCTGGAAAGGGGAGGAAGGTCATGGGAGTAGGGGAAATTAAATTGCCATAAAGCTTACTGTTCTGAGATCCAGCAATTTCTCTTGAGTAAATATTCCTTGGATTGCTGCAAGCCTTTGGTTAATTTCCAGAGTTCTGAAAACAGTTGATTCTGATCATTTTTGCCAATTCCCTCCTTGCTTTTATGGAGGGGAGGATTTTCAGAGGTCCTTACTCCATAATTTTTGCTGGCTTTAAATATTTAATGCCCTTTCATTTTTCTTAACAAAATGAATCTGGTTAAGACAATAAAGCTACCATCATCAACACCGGTAAGCATCCCCATGGTTCAGGTTCCACTGTGCTACAAACAGCAGCTGTGAGAACAACCAAACTGGATACAGTGTGAATTTCAGAAAATGTCTACACTCCAAATGAATGTTGTCATAATTTTTAAGTAGGCAGATGCAGTTTTAGAAAATCCTTTCATCATACCAAAAAAAAAAAAAGAAAGAAAGAAAAAAAATCTTGATTATAGTCTCAAAATCATTATGAGAAACAACTCCAGTATTTTTTAACACAAGATACCAAGGACAATCCACACTGGACTATAACGTGAGTGGAAAACCCCTCAAACCTGGCCAACTCTTGCAAGTCTCTTCATTACATACAGAAATGATCTCCAAACGCTCTACCTTCTGCCCAGCCACCACACTGGGCTGCCAATAATTTCCTGGCTCTGAAGTACAAGGGACCAGATAGTCACGATTCAAGGAGAACATCCTAGGCTATAAAGCACTCTCTTTTCCTGACCGAGGATAAGTGACTCAGCTATGACCAATAACATTCCTAGAGACACTTGCATCACATTAGAGATACTGGCTGATGACACAGAGAGGTACTTCCTGGGTAGAGACAGTGAGGCTTGAATAATTTTTAGCTAGACATTGAGCTACTGTCAAGAATATAGACTTTATAAAAATCCCGTTTAAGAGAAGGGAAGATAGTCACTGAATTCCTGGGGAAATACAGGAGTTAGCAGGAGTTGGTCAAAACCACAAAAATACTAAAACAGCCAGGATTATGTAAGGATAGATTTTAAAATTAGATTCCTAAAGAGAGTGTGTTTACAAGTCTGTGAGATGAATTGACATCTCAATATTTCATGGCATCAGGTTTCATTTGTGTTGGCCTGGCTAGGAATCCATGTTCAGAAATCATTTGGCTAAAAATGTTTTGATTTCTGAAGCAACATATCAAGTTTAAGCTTTTTCCAGGAAAGATAAAAATGTCTGATTTTTCAACTC